TACAAGGTAATGTTTCTGTCTACCAACACATTTTCTTCTAACCAATACATGCTTGCTCTGTGATCTCCACCCAAAAGCTTTTATGGTAATAAACCAAATAGTTTCAGCAGCACCTCACTCACCATTCATCTGGTAACAGCCTGCTTCTCAGTTCTACTTGGGAATGAGCAGCCCTCAAGATCCTCAAACCAATAGGTTTTCATTGTTTGGACTAAAATGGGGTGGAGCAAGAATTTGGATCTGACACCAAAGGTAGCAAAAAGGCTGCATGCTCAACACAGCTTGGAGTTGGTACATACAGCTGAATGGCAGTGCAGGAAAGCTAGCCAGTTATGGCTCATGCTGACTGTGTATAAAGTGTTGTAAGATGCTTTTGTAATTTGATGGGACATTCAAAAATGTGTATGCATTTCTCCCCCTTTGATATCTACTGTATCTAAGAACTCTTTGAGGAGACCATACTTTCAATCTGTAAGGCATTTGTGACTAGCTGTAGGACAGTACTAGTTGGCAGTGTGAGGATTTGCATATTTTGTTTATCGCATATCTCAGTAGCAGTTTTTTAAAGACTATGAGAGGAGACACATGTAAAAGCTGCAATACTTTCAAGAATAAAACTGTGTTTTTCTAAGCAGCGTAGCAATGTTAGATGCAATAAAAATAACAGATTCTTGCCTGTCATAGGTAACTGCCTTTTTTTTGGCTTAGAGAAGAAAAGCAAAATCTAACCTGTATTATCTCAAATGATGAAAATGAATCAGACCTAATTAATGTCACAGATGTGGGAGGAGTGGTATGAAGGAAAACAAAAACAACAAGCACAAAACAAATAAATGAAAAAATCACCTCTTTTTTCTTCTAAATTAAAAGAGGAATTAAAGGAACCCATGGAATCTCTTGATGCTATTTGTCAGAATATCATACATGACAGGGTGGCACCATTCCTACATTCAACCTGCCATTTTTATGTGCCTGACAAATCAACTCTTTTGTTTATTTATATCCCTTATGCTACTACACTGTTCCTCCCTGTGGTCTTGTTAGGTCTTGTTACAGCTTGTATCTTCTTGAGACAGAACAATATGGTCCTCTGTCAGAAGTCACATGCGATGATAGCAAGCATAGTACCTGAGTGTTTTGGCTTACAGTTTGACTGCTGTTTGGGATGAACACATCAGGGAATTTTAGTGTACAGACAAGTTTTTTCCATTGATAATAGATAAATGGTGCTTTGAGACAGGTGTCAAATTGGGGAGTAGAGCAGTGCTGTTCTGTGTATAAAAACAGATCTGCTTTTTGGTCTTCAGTGTGTCCTTCTTCGCTTCTTTAAGTGAAGAAAGGATTGGCAGTTGTATTGCCATGTGCCATTAGCACCCCACAAAAGATACCACTAACAGGAAACAGGGCAGCTGTATGAATCCTCTGTGCTTTTTGTGCACCAGAGCAATGCCAACATTTAAACAGTTTGTTCCTAGCTCTTAGCTGACTGTATGTTCAATGAAGAACATTCTGCTTGTCCACCCAGAAAACTGGATCCAGGATTACACTGGACTTGAAGTATTATTGGTTTTAACTCCTTATAGGTAATCAGCATCAAACCTGAGAAAGGTGTATGAATAACCCTGATAATCCACATCAAGAATAAAGCTTTAATTAAAATCCCAGTGAAAACAAGATAGAGGATCTGTCTTGATGTAAAATCTTGCTTCATGGCAGTGGAGGCATCCCACGGATGTATTTACATCTTCTTTATTAAGATGCAAAGATTTTATTTGGCACTGTAAGTAGACCGTTCTCATTTTTATTTATAATTTTTAGCTCCAGTACTACATTGCACAGAGTCAAGCTCTGCCATTTGTGCTCTGAGATCTTCTGAGCTCTGGGTTTGTGGCATCAATTTAACCTTGCAGAGTGCAGTATGGACTGATAATTAATCAGATGGACTCTAAATACAGGCCAAGAAAATGATGAAGGTTATCATGAGTCAAATATGTGAATCCCTAAATATAGGCAAAGTTGCCAATGTTTAGACTGAAAATGGATCAAGAGAGTTCTGCTGTTGGCCAGTTGACTCTTTACTTCAGAACAGTAACTCAATTCTAGTCTTATTCGTAAGAAACCTAGCTGACTGACAGTAAAGCAGATGTATATATCAGGTTATTGTATGTACAGCTGATGTACTCTTGTAGTGTTTTACACAGTAACAGCAAAAGTATACTTGTACATTGTTCATAAAGGACAGGGTACCTGAATGAATACTTATGTGCACACATGTACATGAGTATAGTTACAAATACCATGTAATCGTGCATTTAATCTATAAGTAGGCAGATAGAAAGGGGAATTCAACGTAAACATAATGACTGAGTAGCTCTTAGGAGTAAGATTTCTTCTAAAAACAGCAAAAAAAACCCTGGCAGCACTGAAGTTGTGGTCAAAATGGTTCTGACTTCTGTCTAAAGAAATTGGAACAATATGTTATTTTCACACAGAGGGTGGTGAGGCACTGGCCCAAGGAGGTTGTGGATGCCCCATCTCTGGAGGCATTCAAGGCCAGGCTGGATGTGGCTCTGGGCAGCCTGGTCTGGTGGTTGGCGACCCCTGCACATAGCAGGGGGTTGAAACTACACGATCATTGTGGTTTTTTTCAACCCAGGCCATTCTATGATTCTGTGATTATTCTGTAATTGTCCCACTGTTGATATCTGACTTTAGAACAACACTGTAGTCTTGCAGCTTTTTGGAACTGAATAAAACTGTGAAGAATATCGTGAACAAAAGACTGTGTTGCTGTTGGAAAGTATTGCACAGAAATGTCCACAGGGTCATTGTGTTATTCCATTGAGCTTCTGACTCCATAATCTATGTTTTTAGCATCTTACAGGGGCCAGTTTCTTGGGAAGAACATCACAAGTCTGATCTATTGCTGTTTGTTTGGAAGATTCCTCCAAGTGTGTGTAGTCACATCAGAACTGAATCCTTCAACAAGCAAAATCAGGCTAAAGAGACAAAAAGGAGCCACTCTTACAAAGAAATTTTGTACTTTTCATCAGTGAAAATTTTGGAGCAGATGAAAAAAATAAATAGACCATGTCTTCAAGTAAAGACAAACAGGAAATACCCTGAAATATACTTTAAAATGCTGATGAGAAGAACTGACTGTTAGTATGCTTCAGTTAGATCAGCCACACTTTAAACTGCTCTAAAAGATAACTTTTAAAATAAGCATGTTTTGAAGCTTTTAGCTAGTAGAGTAGAATGTGAAAGGAATGTGCCCTTAATACTTTTGAGGAATAAGAGTGCTTTCTTTTAAGAAAAAGTTCAATATTTTCAGAAAAAATTTGCACATTTCAGGTCTCCTGACACCTTCATATTACTCCTGCCAAGATACTTGTAACCTTATAAATGTGAAGGGTTTTTTGGTTTTGCTTTGGAGAATTCATTGATATTTTAAACAGAAATACATTTTAAATACATGCAGAAGAGACCCTCCCCACCCCTCAATTTTGGACAGTGCTTATATGCACGTTGATTCATGTTGTCCTCTTCTAGGGATTTGCTTTCTTATTTAATGTAAATCAGGAAAAAGAAAAAAACAACACATAATCTACAGACAGAACTTTCTCATGAGAATGGTTCTCCCAAGACTTTCGCATTGTAAAATCTTCTGTTTCACTCTTAGGTCAAACACAAATCTCCTTATTTTTATAGGGCAAAGCCTGAAAGCCCCACCTTGTTTGACTGACAGTATGACTCAGCATGAGAGCTCTGCTCCCACCATCCTCATAGTCTCTCTCATGCTTAAATTTTCAAAATAAAAATAAGGATTAGAAATACTGATTTTTAAATCAGAAGCCCTGCTTTTCATATTACTCTACTTTTTGATAAAATAATTTAGACTTTCTCCCGAGGGCAAGGGAACACCGAAGCAGCATTATTTGTTTTGCTCACTAGAAAAATATTGCATAGGATAGGAGATATAAGCCATCATGTGGGGGCTCTGCTTGAGCTCACGTGGGTCTCGTCTTCATCAAGAGCCATAGATCACCACCGGCTCCCTTACTGTATGTCACTCAGAATAAAACACACACAACCTTAAGTTAAAACTACTTGTTATATTAAATTATGGGAGATTTAAACATAGCTTTCTCTTTGCTTATGTAACTGTTTCTTAGTCTGTAGCGTATAGAGCACAGTGTTCCCTGAGATATTGGCTAGCATTCAAAAATGTCAATGCCTACACTTCCCCACATGTGAGAAAACAGACAATCACTTCATGGAGAAATGAAATGATGTGTGAATTGTTCAAAATGTAGCCCGATTTCATTTTACATCAAAAACACTGTTGCAGTACTGTGCAAGTAGGCTCCTGTTTTTTTCTTTCCAAATGTTAATCAGTGCTTGATTTGAAAAGCTTGGGATGTACTGATTGACATCACATTCGGTCTTAAAAAAAGAAAAATAATTAAGAGATGGGAAATCACACCAGAAGAACAACCAAAACTGCCTCTTCACAGTAGTCACTCAGTAAAGTGGTTGAGCCTTACTAGAAAGCCTAGAAGACCCAGGCAGGTCTCAGCATGTATTTTTAGAAAAATCAGGAGGTAGACATTTAAAGGCTGGCTTTTAGTCAAGTTTTAATCAAATCTGTATGTTTGCCCCAGGAACTGACTGATGCAGATCACTGCCGGCACACGTTTCTACCAATCACACTGATAAAGATTTCACAAACTGTCCAAATACAGACTGCCCAAAGCTGCACCAGCAGTAGTTTGTATCCATTTACAAGGAAAACCAAAGGCTGAGCACTGGTCAAATTCCTTGCTGACACAGAAGTAAGTTATCGTTTGTCAGCTGCTTTGCTACAGCCAGAAAGACAATAGTTAAAAAAAGGAGCTTTTGCCATATATGTTGATAAAGCCATGAGATGAGTAGAGAACGAGGTAAAGCAAGGGCTTTCTCGAAGGGGTCTAATGCTCTTTCCTGAATGACTTTTTTAGAATGGCAGAGAATCATGGCTTGATGGAGAGATTGGAGAAAGCAGTGACTCGACTTGAATCATTATTTTCAGATTCCCAGAGATCTGGTGGAATGGAGTGTGATGCGATGAACGGTGTCAATGGAAGTAAGTCTTTTTTTTTTAAGTACTACCTCTTTCTGTTATTAGAAATCTAGCTTGTAAGAAGAGCGTGTGTTTGTCTTCTAAGCATGATTATTAACATATACAGCCTAGAAAATTCCATATTAGTCATATCTCTTAAATATGTGGTCCATATTTCAAGCTTTATTGCTCTTTCGATTTTAGCATTTATATTGTTGTAGATAACTCACCAGATGACATCTCCTTGAGCCCAGTTAGCAGAAGAAATGAGACATCCCAAAAATGCACAGCATAAATATTCCTAAAGAAGTCAGCAATATAAAACACTGAGTCTATTTTCCAGCTCTCTGAATTTCATGTTGTGCACCATGATTTAATTGATTACTATCCTTACTCAAATATGAGTTTGTTCATAAGCACTTGCTCACTCAGATCTGCCACACATCCTTGGCCTTGCTTTCATCACTCTTGAGCTCTCCTTTCTCAAGTGGATCTCCAAAGCACTAACTGGAAATACATGAAAAAAAACACCTGTCCTTATCTATGCACCTCATACTGCCAAATCATTTTTTTCCACCCCTTAGTTTTTTTGTTTTTCTTGCAATCTATAGGATAAATAACCTTATAAATGTGGTAGTACTGATGTTGATTTAATAGAAGTGCCTCTTTCCTTTCTCAGGAGCTGTTGTTTTGTTTTTTAAACCCAGAATCCCTGCATATATCCCTGTCTAATCTTCACGTCAGTTGCTTTGCACATTCCTTAGCCCTTTCCCACCTTCTTCATGGGAGAGCACATCATATCATGGACTTGGTATACAGAATGCTGCAGAAAAAGTAGAAAGTTGCAGGCAGCTCCCTTATTGACAGAAGCAAGTTACTGTGTGATGTCAGCTGCTTTGTTGTAACTGTACACCAGCCCTTATCCAACAACACATGTGGCTACACATGCTATGGGCCTAAATGCCAGCAGTTGCTGTGGAGCAGCTGATTGAAAGCAATGTTTCTGTGGCAGGAAGGGAGCATCTTCCAGCAGGCTTCCAGAACAGAGGACTTAGCTGGTCAGAGTGAGCTTCAGTAATAAAATGTGTACAGTGTGGAGAAAATCCAGACAGCTAGTAAGCCTTAGCAAAGTAATGGAGAAATATGACTCATGTACAAGATGACAAATAAATTGATTGCTACTAAGAAGTCTACATTTTTCAAAAACGTAGGCTTCAATCCTGTAATGAATCAATTTGGGTGAGTCTCTACTAACACAAAGCTTAGAACTGCAGAACCAGGGCTGCTTTTACAAAGGAGAACAATTCACCCCAAGAAAATAAGCATATCCTTAGCCTACCCTACGAACTGAAGAAAGGTGAAGAGCCTCCCCCTCCACTCCCCCTCCCCCTCCCCCAGAGAAGCGGAGCCTTAAAAACCCTCAGCAGGTCCTCAGAAGAGACTGACTGACAAGTGTTGTATGAGTGAGATGGTAAACCACACCTGCTGGGAGAAGCAGCAGCAAGAAACTGGTAAGAGCAGCAGAATGAGGAGCTGCCCAGGCTGAGCTGGCTCACATGGGGGCTCGGAAATCAGCTTTTGCTGATGCAGTTAGGACAGACTGTATCCGTTTTTCACTTGGAATGACTGATGTACAAACAGTGCCACAAACATAATTCTGTATGCTCTTGCTACTTTGCAGAGGCTCCCGTAAGTCTCCACAACAATTGCAGAGCTGACAGTCTTACAGAACTCTTCTTCTACTTTAAAACAGATGCTCTGCCCAAGAATGTGACATTTTTGAAGTCCCTAGTGAAAATGGAGATACATTGCTTTCTTCTACTATGCTCTCTCCCCCGAAAAGATCCATAACTAGAAGTATCCCAAAAAAATAAGCTTGAGTTTTTTAATTTAGGGGTTTTTTTGAAACAACTAAATAGTGGGGAACATGAGAGGAATGTACTGTGCTTTTACTTTTTTCCTAAATGGCACTACAACAATGGGATTGCAAACAAATCATTCAATTACTCTGCACAACTCACAGCACACTCTAGTAAATGCTCCTGGGAGTTAGCTGTATTGAATAGTAAAAAATAGCAGAGTCGCTTTCTAGTTCTGCATAGCACAAATGCCATTTGCTGAACTGCTATTTAAAAGTGTGCTCTAAAGTAAAAGGTTACAATGATTCTCTTGGAGACGCGCGCAGATTTCAACAAAGAACATAAATAGGCTTTGAAAAGCATCTCTACAACTAAAACCTTTTGTAGCCTGGGTCATTTGAGGGGTTTACACACAAGCACTGAATATGGAAGAAAGCCCAGAAATTCCTCAGAATTAAAGGTGAGTGACATCAAGAGAACAAAAGAAGCCTTGAAATCCCGCCTAGTTGTCTAACTACATTTTTTTTTTTACACAGACCATTGCAAATTCCCATTACCAAAGCCCTTCTTTTTTCTGTCGAGGAGCCAGATGACTCTTAGGAATTAAAGAGGGCTTTCAAGATTATGAATTTGGATGTAATAGGTTAAAGCACTCTCTCTGAAGAAAGCCCCGTACCTCTTCAGAGCAGTCTCCAGGCTTTTTTAAGCAGGCAGAGAGGCTGGAAAGAATTTTCACCATATTCTCTCAGATATTACAAATGCCATAAATTCACATACGCGTTGCTCCTGCTGGACCTAACAAAAGTTCTGATGCACCAACAAGACAGGAGGATGTGTTAGAGAGGAAGGAGAGGGCTGGAAAACACTGAAGGAAAGAGTTCTTTTGCCATCTTAAAGGATATCACATAAAGTGATTTAGAAATCCAGTTATGTAAGAAACTGAGTCCCATCTTGGTCTTCTGATTGTCCACTTCATCAGAAAATAGCTCTTTATACTATATAAAACACAGTAATTCTATTTTTCTGGCAGAATATATAGCACATAAATAGTCAGAGGGATATGACATCTAGCAGATTTGTTTGAGCCTTCTTTCTCCAATGTCTGTTGTGTACGATCACACAACAAAATAAGGAGATTGCAGTGCCACATCTCACTGCCTAAACGGACTGTCAGTAAATTCTGAATGCTGGAAATTTAATTACTTGTTATTAATGACTACCAAACAATACAGAAATCTTCAGGAATGGGTGGATAGTATAAAAACAGTTGTTCAGGACGATGCAGATTCTTTTTAGGGAGTAATATTTGTTTTTTGTACAGTAATAGAATTTTGTTAAGACAACCATCCTTGTTGCACCATTATGCTTTTGAAAGGCTGAGAGATGTTTACTGTAGCACCTGTTATTTTAATACAAAAGAGGCATCCCACTGTATGCAAAGTAAAATCTCTTTGTGCTCCTTGACAAGTTTTACAAGGAGCAGTATTTTTCCTTTCTAGAAACTAAAAAAATGTATATAATGCATCCTTTTTCACTGATTTCACAAATCAATGAATACAGCAGAAATTAAGTTACAGCAATTTCCCCCATTTCTTTGCTATTTCCCCTCCATGTGCTACACAGGGAAATCCTGTACTTCGTTTACTTTATGGACCCATTATAATGGAATGCTCTTCTTCTGTAGGCATAGCTCCATACGTGGAGGCCTTTGATAGGCTGCTGAATGGAAGTGTTGCTGAGTTTCTCAGGTACAGCAAGATTCTTGAAGGTGATGTGAAGACACATGTGAGTATTACTCAAATTTTCTGCCCATAATATAAATGTACAAATCTTGGAAGCTATGTGATCAGCTTTGATGGCTGAGCAGAGGAGAATTTTAATGTCAGTTCTCTGAATTATTTGTTCTTGATAATACTGGCATAAAACACTGGGAGCATTTGGTTGGGAAAGGGCTTTTGCATTCATGAGAAGAGACTTCTCTTCTATAACACCCAAGATCAAACACTGTAATGCACAAAACCTCTAAATATTCTCAGGTGCAAGCAAGTTGAATTGTCCTGTTGGCTGCTAAGCTCTTTGCAGGACAGGAACATAATTAAGAACAAGTGTCGGCAACTGAGAAACAACAGGAAGAAAGGTGGGTCAGAGCAGTGGTAACATCTCATGGATGTGTCTTCTAAGCATCTATATCATCATACCAATTAATGCAGAGTTTTGACTCCCCTTTTTTTTTTTTTTACTCGTATCTCTTTCATTTGGAGCAACATAGAAAACTAAAAGATGGGTACGTCAGACATTTAAGTGTCTCTTTCTTACCATGTATGTCATGGCAAGAAAGTACAATGGTATTTTCATGATGAAACCAGTTTGTAAGCTTGTGATCAGAGTTTGTTTCATTTTATTTTTTAATACTGTCTTCTCTAACTTTGTTAGTGCTAGAATGAAAAAAATGGGCTCATTTTACTGCAGTTCACAACAGCTTATCTATACATGTCTTGCCAAGAAATCACACACAGAAGAGATAAGGTCACTTTGAGCTTGGTCTGAAGGAGCGTGAAGCTATTGATTTGGTCTAGTAGATCCATGCAATCAGGCCTTTCTCCACAAGTGTTAATTGTTCCCCAATTCCTTGCAGCTGCTGATCAATGTAAAAAAACCCTGTAGCCAGAAAAGCATGTAGTTCTACTGGAAACTGGGATTGAAAGGACATAATAAATACTTTGCAAGACAGCCAAAGTAACTGTTCACAGAGCAAGAGCTCTGGGATTTTTCTGTCTGTGCTTTTTCTGTGATATTATATGTTCTTGTTAGCAGGGTAGAGATTCTGACCTAGTTAGGCCTAAAATACTAGAGGGAGTAGGAGATCAGATGATTCTTGAGGATCCTCATGTTTTTAGAAAATGCCAGGCTTCAATTTAATCTGAAAGCCTCTTCACCTTAACAGTTATACTATAAGATACTGTATGTGTACTTAGCTCTTGAAATAAATAAGGGAAAAAATAACAAACTGAGAAAAAGAAGTATGCCTCTAATTGAGCAGGGAATTAATCCCTGAAAAGGATCTGTTCTACCTTTAGCCATAAAGATCATAAGGCACCATTATTTTGCAGTTGATTTCTCAACAGTCTAAACCTGATAGATAGCAATAGGCACAGTACTGCACCCCAACACTAAGCAACAAGAAAGTTTGCATTTAACTTTCTAAATGACTGGAACGTTTTTGTAATTTTTTTTTAGTTTATGGTATCTGTAAATGTTTAAATCAGTAAGCATATTAATTTACATATTTGACACTTATCACTGAGTCCATACACAAAAATGTTTATAATTTATCTCTCAGGTCTGTGGATAGTCTCCAGCATATTGTTGATGATAGTGTAATGAAAACTGTGGTACAGAGTGTATTTTAGGACTATTAGATTAGACATAAACAACTTTCCTTTACATAAAGAAACTGGTGATTCTGATTGCAGTCTATTAAATATTCTGAAATCTTAGATTCTGAATATACAGGATGAAGCAGACTGTGGTTGCCTTATGCTCGTACTTATCACAGCAGCAACATCTGTGCTTTACCTTAACGAGTGGAACAAGGAGTATTTTTCTTCTGGGGGTCTTATTATGTGTCCTCAGCATTATACTTGCAGCTGCTGTCTCTGCCACATAATTAGCTGAAGGGAAGATTGTATTTTATTTCAGAAAACACCTGTTGCCTAGAAAACCTCACATACCTGACTCACCAGAATGGTAATATGAGAGAAAGGGAGACTTTATATTATGCTACAGAAATAAAGGATTTAACATGATGTGTTTTGTGCTGATTGCTGTAAGGATTGTGTGGTTTGTGTTTCTGGTGAAAGGAAGAACACAGCCATAACTAATATCCGTTGGGGAGCCCAACTCCTATTCTTTCAGCATGCTGAAACAGTCTATTGAAAGTGAACAAAAAAAAAAGAGAACTAGCAGCTAGCTCCTGGCTCCATGCAGCACAGTGGATTTCACAAAGATTATTTTATCAAAAAAGCGTTCTGCTTAGACTCAATCTTGAGAACAACTTATTTCTCGTTCAAATTACAGTATAAGCAATGCTGAATCTCTGAGGTCAACTACAGTACAGAAACTAACCACTTAAAAAGACAGAATAGCTAGGTTTTTTACACAGTCTGTTTAAAACAAATTAACTTATGTAAATGGCTAGGATGAGATCCTTTTGCTGTTCTGTCATTACAGCAGAAAGACCTGGTGATTATATGGGTACTTCTGTGGCATGCAAAGTGCCCTACAGGCATATAATTTATGAAGCTGTACCTAGACAGAGAATTTATGAAGAACTTGTGTTCTGTCCATGTCATAACTACAGATCACATGAAGTCAGTGGAAGAGTGAATATGGCCAGGACTGCTGCCAACCAGCTGTCCTTGGCTTGACATACCCGTGTCTTGAAGGCTGTCACCACCTATTACAGTTTAGAACAGCCACCCTGAAGCTGATTGACCATATGTGCCAACACTGGACCATTCTTCTGTCAAAATGAGGGAATTCAAAAGCATAGAGGATAGATTGTGGGTCTGCAGTATGGACAGTGTTCTTATATCCAGCAGATAGATAGCACTGGCTGACTGCTAGATCACAAAATGTAGTCCTATCACTATTTGCCCAGAACATCCACCACAACAGAAGATGTGCTGAGGATGATGGAGAGCTGCCTGTGGGAGACACAGTCTGTCTTCAGATTGTATCCCGGTGAGGAAGCTGGGCACTCACGTCTGATGGGCTCTGCCATGTCACAGCAAAGCAAGCAGGATCTTACAAGGCCACGAGTAGATTTTTGTGATGAACTTCTTCACATTGTTTTTGTTTATGTGATATTGCAAGTGATGAGGTACTTTGGCTTGAATTTGAACAATGTACCAGATGGGACATAGTGATAAGAAGAGAATGTACTAGTTCTACAAGAAAAGGACTGATAACATAAAATGTCCATATTATGGTATTTTATGTGATTCAAAACAGAGGAGAATTACAGCCTTCCTGTCAAACAAATCTACTAATACTTCCTATTTAAATTATTTTATATTTGTAAAAATCTCCTAACCTCCCAACCCCACCACTTCAAAGAAAAGATTGTTTAGGGGATTCAGTTATGTTCCTGCTTCTCTCATCCAAGCTATTTAGCTTGGAAAGGAAAACTATAGAAATATTGATATCTTTTTCCTCCTCTCTGTCATCAACTTCTAGCTGCTGAAATGCAGAGCTCAGCACAGACAGACAGCAACATTGTGAAGCATACATCGGAGTGCCCAGGAATAAAAAGTTTGTTGGTTGGCTTGCTCCTTCCTGAGACAGTTAAGATATGACTCATTTACATGTGTGATACACAAACAAATAGCAGGGGAACAGCAATTTCCAGCATGTTATCCCATCTGCAGGAGCTCTCTGTGTGCATGCACTGATCTTGTACTATTGTGAGCAGGGGAAGCAGCGTTCATATTACAGAAATTTTATTTGCATGCTTATATTTATGGAGGTTTTCTTCATCTATTGTGCGAAAGCCTCTACTCCTTCCAGCCACAGTCCGTGTAAATACAGTCAGGCATCTGAAGGCAAGAGTTATCTTTAATGAGGTATATTTAATGAGTTATCTTTATACTTGCTCTTGGAAAAGCGCAGCTCCAGTCTGGACTGTCAGCAAAGTTAAAAAATCATTGCTTTCTCATTTCATCCAAAAAGTAGTTACTACACATGAAACAGCCACATCTTGTCTTTTCTTGTGAGTGATGTTGAAGAGCTCCTCAATGACTTTCATAACCTTGAACTTTGAACAGGATGTGCTGTCTCTGATACACCAAAAAACACTTCTGCACTTTATATTACCTAATCAAAGCACAGACTATCAAACCCATTATCTGGCTGATTCCTCATTAACAAGCAATTTGCTTACCGGGCAACAGAATGCACAAGTGTACTCTCGTGTTGTTCTTTTGTGCCCAGAGGCTGTGCGGTTTTAGGCATTGTGTTGAAAGTTGAATTAGAGCTCAGAGAAGAGGATGATGTCAACATGCCCAAAGAGAAGCTTGCTGTCACGCTGTCTTTGCATTTCTGTGAGGGGTATTTTCTGGTGGATGAAATAAACACCAAACCAAGTAGCTACCACAGGATTGGGAAAAACAGAATACAAAAAAAAAACAAGAATAAAGACAGGTATTTTTATACATTAACAAAACAGCTAAAAAAAAGAAACTAAACATAGAAAACAGTACTGCCATCTACTAAAATCAAAAAGAAACAAAAAGAAAACCCAAACCAAATAATCAGCGATGAAAAATATTGGGAATGTAGCAATATTAGAATTGATTTTTAATGATATTGCAATCATATTTCTCATCCTGCATGTGTACAACAAGATAGTTCATAATATAAGCTATGAAAAATGTTTGCTTAAATATGAAATATACACAATGAAGCCAGGTGGCTAATCCAGAGCAATTACCACTTTTAGATGTTTTACAACTTTTGATTTATCTGCTCCAAGGAATGACTTCATTTCTAGACTAAGGGTTGGATCTGGCTTACAAAATAAGCAGGATTTACTGGGTCACATGAAGGCATGGTTACACTTATCTAACTGTAAGATACCTGGCTGGCAAGAAGAATGGCTCTGAAATATGAATAACCTGGCCTGGCTTGTCCAAACTAACAATCCCTGAAAGACTGGGAATTTTTCTGTTAATTTTGAAGAAAACTGGATCAAGCTCACAGTTTCTCAGTAATGTCATCGTACTAAA